CTCCCCACACAATCTCAACTTCATCAGCGGTATTTTCCAACACACTTAAATTGATTGCATATGTAGTACGAAGGGGGAGGGATATAAATCGTCCCTACATTTATATATTGAAAATAGGAATTTGGCATCAAATGAGCTTATATCAATCAATGTAGAAAGAAGTCTCTCGTTTCCTAGAGCTTTCCATACCCAAATTTATTCAAAAATAACTAATAATTATTCTAGGCATCAGCACACTGAAAGTCAAACGGAAACAAAAATCAATCAAAGCTTTCAATCTGCATCCTGAGAGCATTTCCAATTATAAATAATAGCTTGAAGTTTGGCATGGTTTTTTAAAAAAAATGTGGTTGAAGACGCACAGTATTAAAGCTGAAATATAGGACCGGGGAAACGTATCAATTGCCTCATTGTTTGGGCTTCATTTCTTTCCGGCTTCGCAAGAATGATTAAAAATGATTTTTTCACTTCAACGGTGCGGTTTTGAAGTTTGCCTTTTTTAGATTTAACCCAATGTATGGCCAAATATGCAATGTCTTGATTTTAAACCAAACAGAACACAGGCAGCCCTCACCTTACTTGCTTCTATTATGAAATTATTTTCTATTTTTYATTATATTTTATCAATTCAATAAATGTATTAAAGAATTAATAACAAAACTTGAAAATTCAAAGTTGCAAAATAATTAAAGACGAGGCTCAGCTGAAACTAGCGAATTATAACGACTGCTCTCCCAAAAATCGCACAAAATATACATCTTCTAGTGCTTTTTAAAATCAACTTTTCACTTCACAGCTCTGTTTCTACGCTCTCTTACAAACATATTTATTTACACATTTCAACCAATCAATGTGTCCGTTGTATAATAGTTATTCTATAGCTAGAATCCTCTATCTACACTGGAATAAGTAAGCTACTGTTTGCCCAAATATTATATCATTCCTATAAAAACCTCCGGCTGAAGATTCAAAGGTTTGATTGAAAAGAAAGAACTAAATCAATAATTAATGATTCTGGTTTCCGTGTTTACCATGGTTCTCGGCAATAGTCTCTATACTAATATCGACAGCCTCCACAGTTAATAAAAAAATAGRCAGGGAAGATCCTTTTAATCTTATAGCTATGAATGACGGTTTTTACTATGAAGAGATAAGACTTCTATTATGTATATTGGACTGTGGATAGTCTGGGTTGTCAAAGTCCCTATTTCAATAAAAAGAATTCTGTGTTTACATTTTATATTTTGTTCTGAAATTGGTGGGAAAGGTATCTTATTAGTGACCATGTCATCAATATAAAGCAAGGGTGTGAATATGGATGAACGAAATTGAATGGCTGATTTTGGAACTAACTTCTTTATGAAAAGAAAAACGAAAAAAATGATTGAATAGACGGATGGATGAATGGATTATTTATTGTTGGGATGAATAAAATAGATGAATGTATAGATGGATAATCAATTGAGTGTAAAATGAATAAGCAAAACGAGCGATCAAACAGAAGCGCACAGCAATGTAAATTAGTGGATGGAGCGGGATGGCAACCAACGGAAGAACAAACGAGTGAAAACTAAGCCAAGTGTACAGCTATTGGGCCAATTGACACAACATAAAATCCATTCATCCTAGACTATTTTATTGTGGAAAAAAAGTACTGTAAAAAAAAAAATAATAAAAAAAACATTGGCAACAAAATAATTCCCTAACATAGTCAAAATCCAGCACTTTGAGGTTGTATATACTGAAAGGTTCCAATGGACTGAAAAGGGCAATTTCCGGCGTTTTCATATGAGTCGACGTGACAGGAATTTAACTGCTTTTTCCATAAGTCAGGCGCCATTCAAATTCCGGTTCTAAATAGGAAGTTTTGATACTTTTTTTAGTATCCACAGCTTTTAACAATAGATGCAAGTAGTGAGGGCATACAGCTTTTTTTCCGCATTGATATGATATTTTCATATTATTTTTTTTCTGGAATTTGTTTGTATATTCGCAATTTTTCCATTCAAACTTTTGTTGACCGGCATCAAATTGCACCTAATTAGGCTTTTAAAGAAAAGATTTAATAATGACTGTAAAAGACGTTCTCAGGATACCATGTTTCATTTTCGTCCATTTTCTGGATTATTGCGGAACCTGGGGATTTATAGCTCAATGCAAACTAATCCTTGTGACGTTCCAGTTCATTTCATATTTTGGATCAGATATTAAGAACATGTCTCACACGAGGCAAACTGCACATTAGGAACTCGGAAATGCTACACGTCGAGTGACAAAAAATCCCACTGAAATTGTATTAGCGAGGAAGTATTTCGGATTGTTAGTTCAGCCCCAAGCATAGCTAAAAATGGATATCTTTATCAGAACACAATGAAAGAATGAAATGGCGTCTCTTTTTCTGTTAGAGAACTGAAAGCCACGTTTGACGGCATATAGCTGCAAGTTTTGCTTTCATTTAGTTTTGTTCATAAGATTTCCTAATTAATGTTCCTGCTGATCGGAAAGACGACCAGTGGTTTTGCTTTTGAAAAACTGAATTGATATGTATATGATCTTTTGTTTGTCTTTGTGATATTAATTCAACAAGCATTGGACTTTAGTCTTGTTGATTATTTGTCTGCAGAATTTCATCAAAAGTATTAAATGTTATACTTAATTTTGTGATATTTAAGGTTAAAGCTTCTTGATTTTGCATGTGTACTTGCAAAAATGTTTTCAGAAATAATGTTGTGAAATATACTTTTAAATGGATTTGAGCAGATTGCATGGTTATATTTGTTTATGGGTATAATTACAGACCCTTTGAGTTTCATATTTTTACGTTTTGCTTAGAAAGATATATATTTTACCTAGCTTTGTTTGCTCATTTGCAACCCTTGTGGTAAACTGTTAAATAATACGAAGAGTATTTCATGTTTGCAATTTTTGCAATGCTGGTAGGCTAACTTGTAAGATTTCAAAGTTGTTTTCAGGAGGTTCAGTCTCAATAATGAAAAGTGGAACTATTTTTGTTCGCTCAAAACAGGAACAAGTAATTGAGCTTTTGTTTCTAAATGCTATGGACGACAAATTGGCTCTTAACATAATAACTTCAGCAAATCAAATTGAATGAAAGCTGGATATTGTTATCAACGCAATGCAATGRTCGTACTAAAAATTTGCTGTTTCTCAAAAAGTGCAACACTTAAAAACTTGCAATACTTGGCCTAATGAAACTCTTATAGCGAACTCTCTTACATTGTGTTCCMCTCAAACCAAGTAATACATTGTTTTTATTCAGTAACAGACCGTGCAAGTCAAGAGATATGTAATTATAGAAGTGAATGAAAATAGTTTAAAATCTCACGACTTTATCTAAATTCACTGCATATTATACACACAATTCCGGCTAACAGAGTGTGAAAGAGATCCTAAAAACTCAGCTATTTACTTTTTTTTCAACTATATTTACTTATTTGTCTGGTTCTTGATTTAACACCCTTAAGAAATCCAATGCATTGAAAGCCGAATATCTTCATTAAGGAAATAGAAAAAAAAAGTTTGTATGGAATTTACAAGATAGAGATCTAAATCAGAGATTAATGTTGCTGATCTGTTCAGTACAGTTTAATCAGATAAGGAGTGAGTATTTTTTACAGTTTTTAGACACGTAGCTCTTCATGTAGCAAAAGTTCGCCCATGTCTCATTTCAAACACTTTGAATTCTTGCTTTTTCTGCAAATCAATGCAAAACGAAAAGCACTCTGTTAAAAACAATTTAATTTGTTTAAAATATGTTTTGATAATCTTATACATTAATTATAACAAGAGACGATTCTATTGATATCAATTTTGTTGAAAAGTGTTCTGTTGTTTTGAAAATTATCTCATCGTTCGTCATTAGAGCAACTCCTTCAAAATTTTGCACTTGTTGTTTATAAAATACATCGACATTTGACAAATTATTATTGTATGTATAACATTTTGCCAGACCATACATTATTAAGGAAAAACGTCTCAAAACGTCCAAAAATGTTACTTGGATGTTGGTTTTTTGAGATTTAATTCACGAGAAGCCAATCATCTCAAATTGTTGCGTGAATTTTGCCTCCGGTTTTCAACTAAACCCAATATCCTACTAAAAGTCTTGATGGAAGGGTTGGGAAGAAATTATTTCTATTGATGTTGGACACGAGCCGAAAGAAAATTCCCTTCCCTACATGACCATAGGCGAGGAAGTGGCCTACCACACCCATAATGGTTGACTGACCACCTGCCACCTGCTGTTCRGTACGGTGTTTCTGATACTTCATGGAAGTCACAATTGGTTAGGTCAAACGTCTGGATCAAACTTACTTCGTCTAGATTGCAACTTACTASTATTATATGGAATATAATGGGCTTGGCATGCAATAATAATGAACATTTAATTAAGATTTGATGATGCCAATATTTCTCACCTAAGGGTCCTCTCTGAATTTGAGGCTTGTTCTCATCATAAATTGCTCTATAAAACCTCAATCTTGAGACCATAGAAACATGAAGTTGTTTCAGCACATACATAATTCAATACGGAAAAAGGAGCTGAATTATTTAGTGATTATCTACCATGTTCCATTCCTTGATTTTTAATTCTCATCACGTCCAGAATCCCCGTGAATCAAACCTAAGCCATCCATTAAAATCTATCTTCGCCTTCTTGCATTACACGTAGATCAATAGAGACCTATACTTGTTCGTGTCTTCAAAATATTTGTCTTCTAATACAGCTATGTAGAAGAACAAGTCTAATTAATTTTTAATGTATTCTGCGAGGGCCGTTTGATAAGTTCTAGGCAGTCATTTCAAAGCCCATTTACTGGGGAAACCTCTTGTATCTTATTAGAAGATCATGGCCACGAAACGACCAATATATTTTTTTCGATATTCAATTTCCGACAGGATCAAAACATCACTTATGACCCTGACGTCATTGACGTCTCGAATAATCGAGTGTATATAAGCACGAGCATTTCCTGAGCATTTCATTGCTGACTGATGAGACAATTGGGATCACATCCACTATAAAACGATAAGAGAGCCGAAGAAAGAGACTCTAAACCCAGACATGCATTGGTCCCTCAGGAACCTTTTAACATTGTTAGTCTTCATCGATGCCTACCAATCGAACAACGCGAGACCAACACAAGAAAATGCTTTTGACAAGATTGCTAGGATTGATTCTAAATATAGTAAGTGAACTCTTTAATTTTTAAAGTTCTGGGGTTATTTTGGTGAGATTCGTGTGTTTTTCTGGGACGGGCCTTGAAAATCAGATAAAAATACAAACATTTAATATTCTGAACAGCGAGAGACAAAGCTCTACGATGACATTTATTAAATTTAGAAAATAGGTTTTATTTTGCGCTAACCTTCCATTGTCTCTCTTTTCTTATCCTTCAACTTCTGTACTGGAATGTCAGAAAAAATAATCGATTTTAAAATTTCTGTATGGATTATTTGTTAGCAGCGCCTTAGTTCTAGTTCATTTATTCTCTAGATTGCTTCCGCTAGTCCTAAAACGTTTGTAAGAGTAAAAAAGTGCACCATTGCACTTAATTTTATGACAGCCATCTTAGTTGACTTTAACAATCGAACTGAAGGTTATTTTGAATCGATAGATGCTTTGTATACTGAAAAATTTCTTTATTTTGCCGAGCCTCGACCTTCGCGGTCAACCTCAGGATAACAAGGAGCGCTTGTAACAATAATTACAAGAAAGCAAATAAGCGACCCTAGGCCCGGGTGCTTCAAAGCTCGATTAGCACATTTTTTTGTTTTTTAAACCTGTAGAGATAACCCGGCGGGATTAAATGTAATCGAGCTTTGACTACCCGAGGGCCTGAGGATGATCGAGTGTGCAAAGGCACTAATAGAGACATTGTATGTTCAATTGATAGCACAAGCCCAAAAAAGAATTAAAGTTGACCTTTTTTCGTTCTTAAGTACAAATTCAACGCTCGATATCAAGCTGTTCTATATACGTCGAATCTTACATGCGCAGAACTCAATCCAAATGAGATGAAAATGAAAAGTGACAAAAGTTGGGAGTAATTTGCGTGGACTTCGACAAATAAGGAATTCGACGTTTAAAAAACAGGATCTTCGCATTTCTATTCAATAATAGACAGAGATGACTCTCAGTTCATTTAAGTTACTGAACGATTAAAGGCAACTTGTGTAAGATCGAATTGCTAATAGACCACGGCTCTTCTCAGTAATTACTGTTGAGTAGCCTGATCTCAATGTTGACGAGATGGAGGAGATGTCGAGTATGTTGCCCCCAGTGGTGAAACATGACARGAATTCACATAGCCGATTCAACAATATCCCGTCAAACAAAATCCCCTTTATATGGGAAAAATGCGTGGCTGTTTTAACAATTTAAAAATTGTCTAGAACCTTCACTTTTCGACAAGTTGTCATTTCTGTTAATTAAATGGAGGAAATTCATGCCGTGCACAAACCCAGTTTGAAGATCAATTTGATACAAAATCTTCAATATCAAAGTGGAAAAGTAGATATCTCTTAAAAGCAACTCATCATGGAGTCCTTGTATCTAGCAGTATGACATTTAATATTAAAGTCCCATTTTTTCGACTTGTCACGTTTTTAAGCTTCATTGACATGCGTTTCGTCTGCGATATTATGTTGTTTTTGTCTTCCATTCAGAATCGAGCGCATATTAAAAAAAACGACAGCTTATTATTGTGGACCAGATCATTTAACATATAAAATATCTACTTAAGATATGAAAACAATACGCAGTTATGAAAGCATCACATTACGAAAAACTGACATTTTCACCCCAATTAAAAACTATAGGAAGAAGAAAAAATCTTATCTCGATATTAAGTCGTTTTTGGTCTCCAACAACGAAACAGCAATAACAAAATACTATACCGCATCAGTATTTTTCTTTGTGTTCCAAACCGCAAAATTACTTAGTTTCTGCAATCAATTTGCCATTTGCTTTCATTTATTATATAATCTGTATATATGGCTGTTTTCAAAAGGTTGTCATACTATTGGTAACTAGAGATTATGCGACCGAAGGAAACCAAGTTGAATTGAATTGAGGAATTATTTTCATTGAATATGTTGTTGATTTTTTATCAACAACGTCTTGCAATAACCGTCGACCATTTTGTAAAGTATAGTGCAAGAAAAAAACAATATATAGTGCAACGTCAAGTGCAAGAAAAAATGACAAAGATTTTCAAATTAATCGGATTCAAACAAAAAAATCCTCAATGGGCACGCAATTTCATAACATCATGATCAACGCTGGAATACAATAYTTAGCGTCATTAACAACTTTTTAGCTGTTCTTCGGTTTAAGAATGTTTCTCTATTGTTCATTTTTTACCGTGAATGTACTGTTGAAAAACTAAATAGATAATTCTTTTTTTATATATATATATATAATTGCGAAATTGGCAGATATTGGTTTACCTTAACAAAATTGGACAACATTGAGTTCGGAGACACGGGGGTGTACTGTGGTGATATCCCACACCTTTTTCATTCTAAATTTAACAAAGAGTAAAAGAAGGAAACATTGATGTCATAAATTATTTTGTTTAATGACACATTGATAGTTATGTACACAGGGTTTTTTTATCCTTTAAAATATAATGTGAGCTATGTTCCCCCTCCCTCACCCCCATCAGTAAAAACGCTCCGACGTTCCCCTCATTTAACATCTTTACAAGTTATCCAGTGTGTAGACACGCGTAATGCTGTTTTAAGCATACGTCGCATTTAAAGTTCTATAGAACCCATCATAAAGTCGAGTTGCATTCCTTAAATACTGGATAGAATTAGACCGGTTGCTCTGTGGCACACCTTCAGATACCCTCTAAGTCAAAACACCCAAATAACAGTCCACTTCCCCATACCAAGCCCACTCATTTACACCAAACCCAAACAAAAAGTCAAACACTTCTGTTATCTGTCTTGTAGTTACTTCTCTCGGGCAAAAATGATAATAATACTTTACTTATCGATAAAGAGCGTGGGAAGTACATTAGGTAATGGCTTTTCCATCGCTTTGTACTGCTCGAAAGCGTGGTAAAAGGCCGTAAAACGAGGTTGCGTAATTTTCTAAGTGTATCGATTGAGTTCAAAAGGATATAGTAAAGAAATACGCAGCTTGCTGATAAGGCTTTTTGATTGCCTTATTTCACTACGTCACAGTATATTTCCATAGGGAAAAGATGCTCAAAAAACAGTGGAAATATGTACCCATTTATACTCCCTCCTAAAGTAGAGCTTCAATGTATCGTGTTTAATATATAGTCTTGCATCAGAGATAGTTCAAGTACATTTTATTTGTTATGCAGTCACTCTGATCCCCTCTGGCGAGCATAACTCTTAGCTTTAAAAGAACAGAATGTTTTGATGTGACGTCATAGTGGAATAGGTCAATTCAGTTTTCTTACGTATTCTGAGTTGCGCTTTGTCGTTTGTGTACAGTCACTTGTAGTACAGAGTTTTGCAATATTTCTGCAAATTTCAATAATATCTATATACAGTTATTTCAGAAAACGTCGAATACCAGAAAATACTGAATACTGATTCTGGATATTACTTACTCGACCTTGCGATCTAATTGTTGGATGATTGGAAATACTTGATTATCACCAACAGAAGAATCAACAGACTGGAAGTATGAAGTAGATATGATTTTACCCGAAGTCAAAGAAACAAGAAAGAGAAGAAGCGCACCGAGAGGGATGCTGGGTAGCATAAAGTTTAATACTGTTAAACTTTGGCCAAATGGCGTCGTTCCATATACTATATCAAGTGAACTGGGTAAGTTGTTATCATTTCAAGATGAATAATGTATTTCTTTTCACTAAACCTATAGCTATTAAGCCTGGTTTCATTAGAGATGTAATATTGTGACATCTTTTTTGTCAGTGCAAAAGGAAGGATTTATGGACGTGTTGATGGATGCAATGTACGAGTGGCAAAACAAAACTTGCATTAAATTCAAAAAAAGAACTTTTGAGAAACACTTTGTTCACATTTATCTAGGAGATGGGTAAGTAGCTTTTGGACAATTTATGTAAAGCTAAAGTGCTTCCAGAGTGCTCAAGTTCAATAACTAGAACTTAAATGATTTTTTGATCCACTAAATCAGTCATGTTTATTACAAAAAATGAGAACGGAAACTCGATAAAATGTTATTTTAACTCCTTTAGTAATACCTTTTATGGAATATGTTATCGAAGACMCTCCAAATTTTAAAAATCGCATTTCCGAGGTTCAAAATTTAAAAAAAACCTGCTTGAAAAGCTCCCTCTTTGATCCAGCGTTATCTTTGTTCGTCATCCCTTCCATTCTCCCGCCAGCTCCCAATATGTTCCGCAGTCCCTGAACATTATGACACGATAGCCTTTGATGGTTTTTGAAAAGATAATATTTTATTCAATCTTATAGCTGTTTATCAGACGTTGGAGTGAAATCAATTGGACGACAGACAGTGTCAATAGGACACAACTGTGATGATAGAAAGATAATCATTCACGAACTGGGTCATACAATTGGACTCTTTCACGAACAAAACAGACCGGACAGAGACCATTATATCAAAGTCCTGTATAACAATATCATTCCAGGTACACACTTAGTAATCATATTACAAGAACAAAGAGAACTGGTGTGGTCCATCCCTTCTTTATCAGTTTTTAATTGATATGGAGAATCATCACGCCTAAAATGTTCAATGGAAAAAAGTCACATCTTTTAATATATTTAATCTTTTCGATGTCTCTTATCCATAAAGTATTCAATATATAAAAATGTTTATATTTTATAGTGTACATAATTGGATGCATATTTCGGTATCCGTCAAACGTTTGGCTATCACAAATTCAGCATAGAAAAAAAWTTTCTACGATAGTTTTTGTTGTTGTCTTTATGCCTTTACAACTGAACAAGSTTAATGGGATTGACTATATCAGTACATCGCTGAAAGCTAATATATCTACCCTCTTCTTTCAGCATATCACTATGCATATCAAATCAAAAGTGGCTGGCACCCAGAGAGCATAAAGACTAAATATGACTATTACTCCGTGATGCATTATGGGAATAAGGATTTCAGTATCGGTGATCGTGTGACAATGCACGCCTATAGATCTGGAGTATCGGCCTTTGGAGGCATCCAAGTGTCGGGTTTGGACGCCATTAGGGTCAGGAGAATGTACAAATGCAAAGGTATGTTCATCTCATATCCTTATCGGTACACCCACTTTACAGTTCCCAAGGCCATCTTGAAAGACTTTGAATCTAAGCTAAACATGTTGAGTTGAGCCTGCAGTGATAGATAAACTTTGTTTACATCATTACTCACATGTAATAACCACTGCAGGATCAACCATTGTCTCGCTTCTATGCAAAGACTTTGCTACTGTTAAATGATTCGGAAATGCCTGCAGTCACTGATAATTATCGCCTTCATCCTTCGTTAGAAATAGCATCACCTTTTCCACTCTTATTGTACCCAATTGTAACTTTTGAGTTTATTTTCCAGAGTATCCAAGATTTCCACAAAATTTCTACTGGAGTCATAACAACTACGGCACCAGAGGGAAAACCTGCATCGCAGTAACTGAGCCGAGAGACGCTAAAAATAGCTGGAACAACAATAAATTGTGCTATTTTGGTCAAGGCAAAAGACCTTTGGATATCAAATGGTCTTCTCAGGGGCCTATTCCTGGTATGAGTTGTACCAAAGTGAGCTATTACAGGAAGTCTAAGAATCCTGCCTGGAATGACAACTATATATGTATATCAAAGTACGGTCCATTCAAGTTTAGATGGGTTAATGGACGAGTTCCACGTAATGAGAGGAGAAAAAACTGCCTAAGGATTAATGAGCCATATGACAGAGATTGGAGAAAAGATTATCACTACCTCTGCGCTTATCAACGTGAAACAGATCGCATTGGTAAGAGAAATTCAAATTTCAAAGCGTGTAACCACTACTCAATTTGAAAGACAATTTTCTGATTACAATAGCTAGTCAAATTTGAATTTTCTTGTATTTGAGGCTAAGCCTTAGTGGATTTTTCGTGTTCCGGACTGCGAACATTTTTGGCTTTTACCATATGACAGCTAGTTACTGTTGGTTGAACGCAAAAAAAGCGAATTCTAAAAAGTGTCCTACTAAAGTTAAAATATAACAAAACATTCGCACTAACCCTATATCCGCCCCAACCCAAAGAGCTAAAATTTGAAGCTTCTGGGAATACAGTCCTAGACTCACATCGAAGTTTTTTTTGAATTTTTCCGTGCTTTCATTATTTTCTGTCCGTTGTCAGAGCGTTCCCTCGTTTTGGACGCGAAAGGACATTGCGGGCCTTTCCATCTTGATGGTAGTGTATTTGACAAGGGCAGATTCGCAACCAATATATTTTTTAATTATTGTCCTTTAGATGGAAAATGGTCAGATTGGTCCAGATGGGGAGAATGCTCTCGAAAATGTGGAGGTGGAATGCAATTTAGACAAAGGAAATGTTCACCAACAGCCAATGGAGGAAAATCTTGTGAAGGCGAAAAAGTTGAAAGCAAAACATGCAATGTTCGACAATGTGATGGTAAGCTATGCAGTTTAGACATCTAGGTTTGTTAATACAAGTGCGTCTTCATGGTGTTTTTATGGTTTACTAATTGTCTTTACGACGGAAAGCAATACAAATTGTTAAAAAAAGTATGAGGACTGTAGTATCTGGATCTTCGTCCCAAACGCATATTGGTATTTTTTAGTTTTCCTCAGGATAGAAAAACGCTTTTTGGAGGGAATGTTGGGACGATTCGGGGCATTATATGGACAATATGCTTTAAAACTGATTTTCAAGAATACAGAGTGAGCTACGAGGGAAACWGAAGCAGGGAAAAAAGCACTGCTGAAAATTTTCATCTTTTCATTGTGCTTCACTCTTCCTTCTCTACTCTTAATTCCCTTTCTCTTTCAACTTCTCCGCTAACGTCACTAATGAAAATAGGAAAAGCGTAAACATAGTTGGTTTTGATAGGGACGATATATCAACTTGAATAGCGAAATAATGCATCGAAMCTTCATCTACTCTGGATATCAATGGATTGATGTTTGAATGAATTTTTTTAATTTACCCGGCAATGTTGGTTTCAGAAATACAGAACCCGAGAGCAGAGATCGACAGAGTGGGGCATAATCTAGTTATAATCTTTCGCTCTCGATGTCTATAGTATGAAGACACTAATCGTGAAATTTTAATAGCCTCTTTATAATATTTTGTGCAATGTATCAAATTGTGTTCATAAAGAACAGTGGTGAATCCGCTCCAGTTGCAAATGTAGTACAATTTTGTCCAATTTCACAATTTTTAAAATTCGGTTCACTCTAACATAAAAAAGAGCAATCAATTAATTCATCTACATGTTAATGTTGCAGTATTCTATTATGAAAGCAAACCATGAAATATTCCTAAAAAATACATTAATTCATGTCAATCTTTCCTCAGCCCAACCGTCTTTTCCCGAAGACTTCAAGTACATCCACACAAAGCCTTTCAGACTGCCAACATCAGGGATTTGCCTACGAACATATGACATGTACCAATACTGGTTATGGGCCGATTATTATTTCTGTACATCAGAGGCAAAAAGCAATCCAAATATCGAATGGTCATATATGGGTCCCATTAAAGGAATGAGATGTACCAAGATTTACAACCCTAGAGAAAGGCATGGCTGGAAAAACAATTATCTTTGTGTGCCTCAGTCCTCTCCTTATCGGTATGTGCATTATGCAATAACTTTGATACTGTGCTCAAGGATCTAGGGCAGGTGGCTAGCCAACTCATTTTTTGGGGTCAAAAGTATAGAGATACTAAACTATGAAAAAAGGAAGAAAAGCAGCATTTATTTGAGATAAATCTCATTTTCCTCATCCATAATTCTATCCATTTATTTTTTCTTGTGTAAGTCACCTCTTGTGATGTTTTACATCCGTAACTGCTGCTTCAATGGCTTTGAGGGACAAAGTTACTCAGTGCTATCATACCTGTAGGACCTGTACAGCTTAGTGCTCTTCCACTAAAGTATCCCTTGATACAGTTGTGATTACTAGACCATTATTGTTTTCATTATTATAAGTTCTTATTAAACAAGTGCGCAAAAGTGCAAAAGTTCGAAAAACCAAGACCACGGTCATGAAGTTAAGACCGAGCGCAACGAGGTCTGTACGACTGAACATGATCGAGATTTTTCTATTTAGACCAAGCAAGCTCGGTTAATAAGAGTTTTATTATGCGACCATTTTCATAGGTTGAAAAATTGACCCAAAGGTAACAACGAACATTTATTCATCTATAGGTTTAAATGGTCGATAAAGGGACCAATACCTGGAATGGAATGTCTACGCTGGTACGCTCAACAAGGACAACGTGGCTGGAGTAAAACATATTTATGCGATGACAAGAGAATCCAGCCGATTAAGGCCTTCCATTGACAATAAAAATTAAAAATACGTAAGGGATTGAAACCGTACATTACTTGTTTATGAATAGAGCCAATTTCGTATGGATGCGCAATGTCGCGGAACGCGACACGAACATCACCGACGATTATGTTTTGCACCTGTCTTGTGATTGGCGCCATACATTATTGAGTTGAGAAAAGGTCAAGGTTATAGTAAAGCATGTTGACGTAGTTTTTTTTAGAAATTTGAATAAACATTCGTAGGTTGGTCGATTTGAGACTGTTATGATTTGTGGGACGTCTCTAATATGGCATTGTCATGCGTACATATGATGCTGAATTACAGCGCCTAGTGTGCGGAATGAATATAGATAGGTTCTTGGCACATAATTGTGCTTTTGATACTTATATAAAGGTATCTCACAACTCTTATCAGTCTTAGATCATGACAGGTGTATTAAAGACCCACGTGGATCCAAGAACCTTTGGGCGATTTTCTGCACATACGAAAGTTTGTCATCTTTGATTTTGAACCAATCAGAAAGGAATTTTAACCTAGATAGATTTTTTGTAAAACAAAAGAGGTTCATGGATGCACATAGGCCTTATTTAATATCGATTAATCTAACCTGGCTTTTTGTCTCAACAGATATAATATAAATTAGGTTTTTCAAAGGATGACGAATATGTTTTATGATCGGTGATATTGTCAGCTATTTCTTGTTTACGTTGCTCGTGAAGAAATAGCGATAAATTCCTAAAACATCAACTATTTGAGCACACGATCCAAAAGGAAACCACAATTAGCCGGGACAATTTTGAGCTTTGAACGTTCAACTACTGATTTAAAAACCTGAATATCCCGGATAATGCATTTATAATTGTCAAGAGTAGACCGAATCCTTTAATAGTTTCGTCATTGAGACCAATTGTTCGGCGTAATGTTTAAGCATTCTCTGTTTGCTTTAACCTCTATTTTATGCATAGCAAATAGGTGGATTTATAGAGGTAGATGGACTAGTCTGGGTTCTTGTGTTGTATTGCTACAATCGACAGCTTATATTTATTTCATTCATGGGTATCAGTCAATAACTTATTTAGCCCAAAATTATGTAAAAAATATATCATATTTACCTATTTCAGAAAGGTTGTTGGACTGAGAAATGAAGAGTGCATGATCAAAAACTACTTACTGCAAATTTTCACTATGGGTAAAATTCGCTAAAAGATTCATTTGTGGGTAAAACTATTAAATTAACTGACGACCTATCATTGATTGATGAGCGGTTCATGCTCGAATAACCAAAGTATCTCGCGGTCTTATATTCTTCATACTCTCTAACATAATGTTGAGATAGCTATACACATATACACTTTAGCTTAATGATGTATATTGCTCTATTGAGAGATTCACACCAAGTCCAAATGCATTATTTGAATGACATACAGCGATAGATTTTAAATTTGAATTCTGACCGTATTATGGAGTAAGGGCTTCATATCAAAGAATTAAATGTCATTGCAATATCTGGAAACAAGCAAAACGGAAGATTTTTCAGAAGTGCTTTCATTATACTATCTGCAAGTTTGAAACGATTTTAAAAGCGTTAAAAAACGACAAAATCGCCGAAAAAACAGTCAACGCGTATTTCCTAATAAGGTACGATGACCATATATGGCTGCCAAAGGAATGACAACTTTCCAGTGATAATTCTTTGACATGATTTTCAATTTGGCCATCATGATAGCTCAATATGGATGATAACATATTAGTTATAGCAGCTTCATTACTCGCTCTTTGCTATTGAAATTTTATCCTATAATTCAGCCATATTGAATTATGTGCTAAAGTCAAAATTATCTCACTGAAATATCTTTCACAATAAGTTTCAAGCTCTTGACTATTTATGTAAATATTTCGTGAAACTCGAAGTGCTTCTATGTTTTAATTATCTTTATTATATTACTATCATTTTTATTTTCGCTTTATATTTTGAATCATGTTTTGAGCGTCGCCATTTTTTGCACCAACGCCTTGTGGGAAACCAGATTGCATTTTTAAAATCCTTTTTGATCACATTTATTCGCAAATTCGTGCCTTTTTTGCAAAGAAAACAAAAACCTCGGATTTTCGGTTCGGTGAAGATAACAATTAGGCTCCATTATGCTTTGTTGCGCAAAATGGCACTCTATTGTACTTTGCTAATTGGAAAGTGATTTTGACATTAGCTTTATAAATACCTCTTCTGACTGGTTCAAACCTGCCGGCGACTAGCCAATATAAAGTCTGGTAAATGGATTAATTACTGTAGTAAGGGATACGATACATGCATGAAAATACAACATACTTAGGGTCTTAATTGAATAACTCGTTAATAAAAGAGTTCCAGAAAAACTTACTTGTCACACAAGATTTAACCAAAGTAAATATTATCTTACAACTGGCGCGTCCAAACAAGTGTCTGTTTTCAGTCATGATATCTGTACTAACAGSATGCCTTGACTGATTTCTTTCGTGGTTGTTCTTATTGTTTAAGCATTCTCTAAGAGGAAATAAAGTATGATATACGGATAGAAATCTTGTAGTAATTCTAACAAAGGGAACGCGGAGCAGGAATGGTCTGCCTCCCCCCTCCCATACAACAATGTTTTTTTGCCTTTTCTTTTGCTCCTTCGAAATGTGAAAGCGTAAGCTCTACTATAGCACTCATGAGCCGGAATTGATAAACTAATACCTTTTAAGTAATATTTTCACATTGTTTCATTGCATAAAATATGTCCTTTGAAGTTTCTCAAAATGCTGGAAATCGCATTTCTGTTAGCCTCTCAGAACCAAAAATTCTCTGCAGTCAATGTAACGTGATCATAAAATAAGCCATTTCGTAGGATCTGGAAATCCTGTAATTGTCTGTAGGTGTGAAATAAGATTACCGTCATAGCACACTCAAGAGGGTCTCAATGGGGTTAACCGTGAAAATTAGCCGTTAGTCGTGAAAATGCGAAAAAAATAGCCATGAGGCGTGAATATTTTTATAGCGTGAGCCGTGATTCCGTTTTGTCCCTCAGAAGGACAGTCAACTCCGATGCAGGCGTGCGCTAGTAATTTTTTTTTTTGTAAATTTTTTTGTAAATGCTCTATTCGCAGAGTAGCTCATTTAGTGCATCGAAGACCTTAATTGAGCGGGAGCCTGCGTCACGCTAAGTGTGGCAAGAAACTAAAGCTGCTCGAAATAGAACGTTACAATATTGAATCGACATCTTTTTTTTAGATTGCTAATAAAGTTATAAAAGATTTTTTAATTCTTAGATAGTATTTTTGGGTTTTGTTTTGTACATTTTATAACTCCCGCTCGTTCAGTGCATCGAAGACCTTAATTGAGCGAGCCTTCGTCACGCTAAGTGCGACAAGAAGCTAAAGCTGCTCGAAATAGAACGTTATAATATGAATCGACATCTTTGTTTTTAGATTGCTAATAAAGATATAAAAGATTTTTTTACCAAAACAAAACTAGCACTCATTTAGTATGTTAGTACATCAAAGACTTTGAGCGGGAGCCGATCATATATCCACTTCGTAAAAAAAAAGACRGTTCTCGGGAAAGAGAAACACAAGAGATGACAATAATTATGCAAAAATCAATCAATCAATAAATAAAAAAAACAATAAATAAAATAAAAAGGAAAAAACAAAATCATTATTAAACGTCTCCTCCAGGGAATCGATCCCGCTACCGTCAAACCTACATTGGATTTGCAAGCGGCGCCTTAACGCGGTGCGCCACTAGATCACTCTCATTTACATAATAATAGAACACTTGACACTTTCACCGAATAGACTACCCCAATTTGACATTATACTTTCGATAGTTGCCTAGTTAGTGCAAGGGGTTATCCATCAGTGTCTAGGGGCCGGATAGCTTCTCCCTCACTGGCTTTTTAGTTAGCGCGAAGTTAGGACCAATTATCGGGATAGCATGGAAGAGCCGAAATCTCTAACCGGAATGTAAATCGATTCGCCGCCTCAGCTTCACAGAATGTCTCGGGGGAATCGTCCCAACCTTTTTTCGATTTTATGGTCATGGGTTCGAATCCCA